CCTGGATCACTGCCTTGCCATGGCGAAGGGGCTTGAATAACTCAGAGAAGCTTTGAGCTATGCCATGTAGGGCCACCCAAGACGGACAGGTCATAGTGGAGAGTTTTGACTAAACGTGATCCACCTGGAGCAGGAACCGGCAAGCCACTCCAGTATCCCTGCTCAGAGGTCATGGATCAGTGAACAGTGATCATGGATCCCAAGAAACTGAAATCTATATAACAAAATCTATTCTGAATCCAAATATCGAGATTACTCTGAATCTCCTTACTTCCCCCCATCGCTTCCATGGGTCCTATTGATACTGTTTTCCACTGCATATCAATACTTCTCCAATTTTTAATCTTTCTAAAATATCCGTACATTCCAAGTGCGTTAAAAATCCTGCTAATGTTTTAACCTGCTTGCAATGATCTTGTATATAAATTATAAACTTTTCCCATTCTTTTTAAAAGTTCTTGTCTTCTTGGTTCCTAAGTTTCCCAGTTAATTTCAGCATAGTCCATCAACTTGGTTTGCCATTCTTCTCTCGTCATGGTTCCCTCTCTGGGCTAGTAGCGTCTGTGCAGCTGTTGTCGCGAACATAAACAGTTTTTTCTGGTCCTTTGGTATCTCGATACCTATAATTCCCAATAAAAAAAGCTTCTGGGGTTTTTTTTAGCAAAAGTTATTTTGAACATTTTTTTCATTGCATTGCATATCATTTCCCAGAATTTTTTAATTCCTTTACAGGTCCACCACATATGATAAAAGGTACCTTATTTTTCTTTGCATTTCCAGTATATATTTGTACATGTTCTACACATTTTTGCTCATTTAACTGGGGTACATCATTTTCATATAGTTTTCTTTCAGTAAAGACCACGCCGTAAATTTCAGATCTGTTTTCCAGAGCATCTCCCAGTCTATCTTTTGATTGCTCGGCGGAGATAGCTTGACTACAGTAGTTCGGGCATTGGTGGTTTCAAGACAGGGTTAATGCAATATACGTGGGGCTTCCTGGAAACTGCAGTTAGTGCAAAATGGCACAGCATGGTTCCTGACAGGAGTGAGACCTTGTCAGCATGTGCCATCTCTGCTCAGAGACTTACATATTTGTTACTGATTTAATCCCCATAGGAAGTCCAGCCTTCAGGTATATGTTCTCAAATTCAAAATTCAGGACTCCTGTAATGTTCTTTTATTGCTTAGTGTTATACATTTAGGTCTGCAGCTCCCTCTTCTGGAAATATAGATTTAATACACTTCTCAACTTCAGGCATCCTTTGTCAATTAGGATGGAAACTTTGAAGACAATTAATTTGCTTGCTTTGTCAATTGAACATTTTGAGGGGTTTTTAAAAAAAATATCCAGGGTCACCTTTTAAAATCAAGTAGTTTATATTACTAGTTATTACTGATAGTGTTTATTAGCTTGGCCTTTTTTTTTCAGAGTGTGCTGCTTCTTAAAAAAATTATTATGCATGCTAAACAGAGATTTTCCTTCATAAATGCTGGGCACTGCTTCACTTTGTGCAACTGTTGTTTGTCTGGTCGGCTGTCTTTAATTTTCGTGTTTGTGCATATACTTGAAATTCACTTCTCAGAAAAACAGTTCATCAGTGGAAATTGTACAGTGGTACCTGGGGTTACTTACGCTTCAGGTTACATATGCTTCAGGTTACACTCTCTGCTAACCGAGAAATAGTGCTTCAGGTTAAGAACTTTGCTTCAGGATGAGAACAGAAATTGTGCTCCAGCAGCGCGGCAGCAGCAGGAGGCCCCATTAGCTAAAGTGGTGCTTCAGGTTAAGAACAGTTTCAGGTTAAGTATGGACCTCCGGAACGAATTGAGTACTTAACCCGAGGTACCACTGTATTGCAATGTTACCAGAGAGCATAGGAGCACTGAATTCCCCCCAGAAAGGGGGGAAGTTGGCATATAATTGATGTTGATGTTGGCGCATAAGTGAAAGGCTCAGTTTCACGATTTTGCTGAACTAAGAGGCTGATGAGGTTGAGTTTTTGGCAAATTCCTGTTTCGGAGTTTGTGTCAGCACTTACATTTGGGAACACCCTGCCTATTGCTACCAGGCACCTAAAACATTTTTGTTTAGACCAGCCTACCCAGATATTTAGAAAGTCAATGAAAGTTTTTATCTGCTTTTTCTCCATTGTTATTCAAACTTTCTGAAAGTCTTAGATTGTTAATTTTTCTCATTGATACTTTTCTTATCGATCATTTTATCGTTTTTTATGAGCCACTTGAATGTTTGCCTGTTTTTACAGCCAAGCAGTGTATAAATTTTATGAAATGAATAAAATAGATAATAACATAGCCATTGGGCTGACTGCTAGGATAAATGAGAAACTGTTGCTGAAGAATGTACTGTAAATAATCAAGTTAAATTGCATGATTACGTCCAGAACTTATTTCCCAAAAGCGGCCTGTTAGCCAATTGCAACTCAGAACTGCACACAATGTAGTATTTTGCCCCATTAATGGACTGGGATGGGTAGGCAACCTAAGGTCCAGGGGCTGGTTGCAGCCCAATCGCCTTCTCAATCCGGCCCATGGACGATCCAGGAATCAGCATGTTTTTACATGAGTAGAATGTGTCCTTTTATTTAAAATGCACCTCTGGGTTATTTGTGGAGCATAGGAATTTGTTCATATTTTTTTTCTAAATATAGTCTGGCCCCCCACATGGTCTGAGGAATGGTGGACCAGCCCACGGCTGGAAAAGTTTGCTGACCCCTGGACTAGGACAAGAACAAACCTGAGTGTGAAATCACCAGAATGAGGACTAAGCTATTGAGAGGTTCGAGGTTTGTGCCATCTAGTCAATCTCCTTGAAGGTGGATTGAGACCCAATGACTGGCAGAATCCGAGACCAGGGAGAAGAGTAGGTAGAAGAAGATTGGAAGAAATTTAAAAACTATCTACAGAAACACTGCAAAATTAATGAATGTTAGAATGATGTTGGATTGAAGTTAAGGGGTTTTTAGCAGCAATGTTATAAAGGAATAGGTAAAAATGGATTGTCAACAGGTGATAATCTAAAGTTATAATATATTAAGATAAAAGATTAAGATAAAATCAAAGAGGGAAAAAATTGCTGAATTAACTAATTGAACTGGAATACAAAAAAGGGAGGTGTGAGGAGGTCAGGGAAACAAGCAAATGAAAGACAAGATATGGAAAGACTGATTTGTTTTTAATTGTTTTTATTTTTCTGTAGTTTGTATTTTCTTTTTTCTTTTTTTCTTCTTCGTATTTTTGTAACCTTTTTTGAAACTTTAATAAATATTATTAAAAAAAAAAGAAGGTGGATTGAGACCCATGTTTTAATCTGTAGCTGGTGTCACTCCCAAGAGGGAAGGAAAATCTCCCCAAAATTATGGCATTTACCTGCTTGAAACCCATCTCAAAATCTCGAGGTGCAAACTCAAGACCTATCAAAGCTCTAGTGTGAGTTTGAATTTGAAGGATCTTTGCATTGAAACTGGTTTTTTTTTTACAGTTTGACATGCTCAAAACTCAATTTAAGTCCATATGTGTTAAGATCCATTCCAGTCTCAGTGAACCACTGGAAACTGAAGAATATAGCCCTCTATTATCTGCTACATCTGCACATCTGAAACAGTCATTTCGGCTTCCTGAGCAGAAAGAATCAGTGTGGAGGGTGTGATGTGTTTAGAAAGGAAAGGAGACAGAGGAATCAGAAACTATGAATAAAATACACAGTAACCATGGTACTGGCTTCAGAAAGTGTGTTAAAGAGTTTGGGACAGCGGGTGGCACTGTGGGTTAAACCAGAGCCTAGGACTTGATCAGAAGGTCGGCGGTTCGAATCCCCGCGACGGGGTGAGCTCCCGTTGCTCGGTCCCTGCTCCTGCCAACCTAGCAGTTCAAAAGCACGTCAAAGTGCAAGTAGATAAATAGGGACCGCTCTGGCGGGAAGGCAAACAGCGTTTCCGTGCGCTGCTCTGGTTCGCCAGAAGCGGCTTAGTCATGCTGGCCACATGACCCGGAAGCTGTATGCCGGCTCCCTCGGCCAATAAAGCGAGATGAGCGCCGCAACCCCAGAGTCGGTCACGAATGGACCTAATGGTCAGGGGTCCCTTTACCTTTAAATGATAAATGCACTGACCCCAGTACACAGCATAAACACAACAAACCCTAGATTTACGCATCAGTCCAACCAGTGACCATGAGGTAATGAGATGAGCTCTATTTTGGGTATCCTATCTGTAAAATAATTAAATGGATGTTTCCATAAGACTGGGTAAAGGGATGGTTGAGCAAAGGAGCACACATTATTGCTCCCAATTCTTTATAGTTCAGAGAAAACAGTCCAAAACCAGACTGGCCTGGTTAACACATAGCGCTATGCCACTGGTTTTTTTCCACGGCTATGGTTAGGTTTAACAAGTCACGAGTTAACCATGGAGTTCTCCCACAGATGAACAAAGTATGGCTTCTCCAAAGCTTGGGTTTTTTCCCCATCTACTGTTACCTTCTGCCTTTGTAGCTTGGTCAAGTTCTGGGCTGGAGTGACCAAATAAACCATGGGTTCACATATCATGTCAAGCCTTTGTTACAACAAACCAAGGTTTTGCGAGCCAGTAACAAACCACAGCTTCAGACCATGGATTGTTGGCAGTAAACAAACCATAGCTGAGCTGCTAACCAGGGCTCATTCATCATGGTAAGCCACGGTTTAATGAACCATAAAGTAATATAAACCATGGTTTAATATTATCTGCAAACCAGGCCACTGAATATCTGATGGTGACAGCACCAAGGAGAAAGGAGACAGAGAAAGCAAGCTTAATGCGGCAGTGTTTTTAGTCTTTTAACTGTGTTTATTGGAGCTGGGAGTTAAAATTAGGCAGCAATTGGAAGTGAAGGGGGAAGATAACCAGACAGTCCCTGTTTTGAATAATACACATGATAAATTTCATATTAACATGAACAGTAAAAAGTCGACTTCTTGTTAAGTTTCCGGGGAGTTTGTTTCATTCCTCTATTGTCTCCTTTTTGCCAGTCTCTTGTCCCTCGAAGAGTGGATACTTGGCCTCCACGTCAGCCCAGGTTATGTTGCCGTTTGCAAGGTCCCGAACTATGGTGGGAAGCTCAGAGATCTGGAAGCAGGAAGAAGAAAGTGCACTTTCAGACTCCAGGATCAACACAGAGCTAATCAACTTTCTCCGAAGAACCGCCGGGCTCAGTCCCCTTGAGACAGCACTGTTGCAGAATGTAGGCAGCCAGTTGCACCCAGCAACAGGTGAGCTCCTTCTTAGAACTGTAAAGTTGGAAGGAACCACGGGGGTCATCTAGTCCAACCCCCTGCAATGCAGGAATCTTTTGCCCAATGTGGGGCTTTAACCCACCTCCCTGAGATTAAGAGTCTCGTGCTCTACCGACTGATCTACGCCTTCAAAGGCGCACTGGACAGGATAAACACACACCAGACCACAGGTTTCCTGTGTGCATTCTCTACTTCACGAGGCACAACTCTCATCAGCCTCACTGCGTGGGCACTGTTTCCTTTTTCCCAGAATATTTCTGGATTATAATGAGCCCAGGAAAATCCTATCTTTACCCTTGAAATAAAGGTATCTGTTGAGGCTCAAGTTACAAGCATGTTGCAGCTGGTGCTTGTTCCCCCATGAACACAGAGAAGGGTCATGGTTCAGAGATTAATAATAATAATAATAATAATAATAATAATCTACCCATCTGGCTGGGTTTCCCCAGCCACTCTAAACAGCTCTCTACAGAATAAACACAATAAAACATCAAACATTAAAAACTACCCTAAACAGGGCTGCTTTCAGATGTCTTCTAAAAGTCAGGTAGTAGTTTATTTCCTTAACATCTGATGGGAGGGCGTTCCACAGGGTGGGCGCCACTACCAAGAAGGCCCTTTGCCTGGTTCCCTACAACCTCACTTCTCACAGAGGGAACCTCCAGAAGGCCCTCAGAGCTGGATCTCAGTGTCGGGGCTGAACAATGGGGGTGGAGACGCTCCTTCAGGTATACTGGACCAAGGCCATTTAGGGCTTTAAAGGTCAATACCAACACTTTGAATTGTGCTCGGAAACGTACTAGGAGCCAATGTAGGTCTTTCAGGACAGGTATGATATGGTCTCGGCAGCCACTCCCAGTCACCAGTCTAGTTGCCGCATTCTGGATTAGTTGCAGTTCTGAGTCACCTGCAAAGGTAGCCTCACGAAGAGCACATTGCAGTAGTCCAAGCAGGAGATAACCAGAGCATGGACCACTCTGATGAGGCAGTTTGCAGGCAGGTAGGGTCTCAGCCTGCATACCAGATGGAGCTGGCAGATGGCTGCCTTGGACACAGAAATGACCTGCGCCTCCATGGACAGCTGTGAGTCCAAAATGACTCCCAGGCTCCACACCTGGTTCTTCGGGGCACTGTTACCCCATTCAGGACCAGGGAATCCTCCATACCCGCCCCCTGTCCCCCCAAAACAGTACTTCTGTCTTGTCAGGATTCAACCTCAATCTGTTAGCTGCCATCCATCCTCCAACCACCTCCAGACACTGTGCATGCAGAAGGACCCCAGTATTTCCAGGCTGGCCCAGAAATGGACGCAACCAGAAACCCTAGAGAGCTGCTGCCAGCCAGTGTAAGCAATACTGGACTAGATGGACTAATGACCTGACTTTAAGAAGACAGGATAGCTGCCTTATACTGTCTCCCAACCACCACTGGTTGTAAGAGGGGACTTGTCTCATTCTCTCCATTCAACATGGTGTGTTTTTAGTTCCTTCTGCTTCTATCTGCGCCCTTTCTCTTCCGGTTGCTTGCCTTGAACCTCCAACTTGCCCCCCGCCCCAACGCAAAGGGCACAGCCTACCTCAGCTCGTATCTGGCGCATGGAGTCGCGGTCTCGCAAGGTGGCCGTGTGCGGCGACCGGTTGACCGTGTCAAAGTCAATCGTGATCCCAAAAGCCACACCGATCTCATCCGTCCTGGCGTAGCGCCGGCCGATGGATCCGGAAGAGTCGTCCACCTTGTGGGAGACCCCGTTTCTTGTGAGGGCTTCGGCTGCGAGAGGAAACAAAGGTGCGCATCATTTTATTGAGTCGGTCGGCTTTATAGAGAATTTAAATGGGCGCAGAGAAGAAATGAGCGTCCCCCAAAGATTGCCAGAAGGATGACTGGAAACCTCAGCTGATCCAAGTCAAGCCCAAGTTTGTTTTATTTAAAGGGTTGGATATTTGTGCAGCCCTTGAGAATGGGGTGGAATGTCTAATTTAAACCACATATACACAGAAAGAGAGAGAGCTGCAACTGCAAACTAAATTCAGCAACGTTGCCATGAACTAGAATACAGTGGTACCTTGGTTTACAACCATCTGTTCCAGAGGCCCGTTTGTAAACCAAAACAGGTTGTAACCCAAGGCGCACGTTCGCCAATGGGGCCTCCCCCAAAAATTTGTCCGTAATCAAAAAAAAAAAAAAAGGGTTGTAATACAAAAAAGGTTTGCAAACCGGGACACACGTGTTTGTTGACGTGTTTGTAATCCAAAACGTATGCAAACCAGACTGTTTGCAAACCAAGGTACCACTGTACTGCAGCGTACAATATATGAGACCACGAAGCCCTTTGGATACATTATGCCTTCCCTACTGCCAAAAGGAAAAATCATAGAATTGTAGAGCTGGAAGGGACTCCGAGGCTCATCTGGTCCTACAATGCAGGAATTGTTTGCCCAATGTGGGACTCGAACCCACAACCCCTGAGATTAGGAGCCTCGTCCTCTAATAACTGAGCAAAGGGCACCCGAAGCCAAAAGGGAAGCGTATATCCTAAATATGAACCAGTTTCCACGGCCAGTTGTGGTTTTTTTCCTGTCGGGGAATGCTCAACCACAGACGTGGGGAACCCTTTCCACCCCGAGGGCCACATTCTCTCTGGGTTAACCTCTTGAGGGCCACATGCCAGCAGATGGATGTAAGGTAAGGGTAAAAGGTAAAGGGTAAAAGGTAAAGGGTAAAGGGTAAAGGTACCCCTGACCAGTCGTCAGTCGTGGACGACTCTGGGGTTGCGGCGCTCATCTCGCTTTATTGGCCGAGGGAGCCAGCGTACAGCTTCCAGGTCATGTGGCCAGCATGACTAAGCTGCTTCTGGCGAACCAGAGCAGCGCACAGAAACGCCGTTTACCTTCCTGCCAGAGCGGTACCTATTTATCTACTTGCACTTTGATGCGCTTTCAAACTGCTAGGTTGGCAGGAGCAGGGACCGAGCAACGGGAGCTCACCCCGTCGCAGGGATTCGAACCACCGACCTTCTGATCAGCATGTCCTAGGCTCTGTGGTTTAACCCACAGCGCCACCCGAGTCCCTGCAGATGGATGCAGCCAGAGGAAAAAGCAAGCAGAGCAATAGGTGCGACTGCAGGCTACATTCCACACATGTGCCAGTGGTTTCTGCATCCACACATCTCTCCATCCAGCAAGCAAGAGGCATGATCACAGTCCAAGCATGCATGCTAGTCAGCTGAAAGGACAAAGCTGAAAGGCAAAGCCAATGAGGAGCAAGGTCTGGGATGAAGGGTCCTGAGAGCCAGATAAGAGTCCCAAAGGGTTGCATTCAGACCCCACCCCTGAGGTTCCCCACCTCTGCTCTAGCACAATGAAGTCGCATCAGTGAAACAAATCATGTAAAAAAAACCTGGTCAATCCCCTTTCCTGCTGAACACCCCCAATTCATCGATGCAATCGCAGCTTTGTTAACACAGGGCAGCCCGGAAGCATCGGGAGCTACTCACATAGTTCCTTCACAAACGGAATGAATTCCTGGTTTTGGCTCAGGGGAAGGACAGAGCACTTGAACGGCGCCACCACAGCAGGGAAACTGAAGTACTGGTGGAGAGAGAAAAGCGAGACAGGTGATCAGGCAGGGGAAGCTGACAGATCCAGAGTGGAAGAGTCTTCATCTGAATTAGATGGGAATTAGGGGTAAATTGGAAGGTTCCCCCGCCGCCACCACCATCAACTCTGCTCTACGTATGCTATGAATTATGTGACTAGAATGATTTTGTGCTCTGATTAAGTAGTAAAAGAACATTCATTTTGATCTTGCAATTTGGACCTTCATCTGTGGATGCTTTGCTTTTCCTTCTTTTTTGCCAAGTCCAGATTCCTCCACCCACCCAAATAGAAAAGGAAAAGCTGAACCTCAATCTTAAGAGGGGCAAAGGGCACAGAAAAATAGGCAGAGTGGAAGCTACCGAGGATCGGGGGGAATTAAATACAGAAAGCTAGAACCTATGTTTGTGTTCATACAATCCACTCCAGGTGACCAAATTGTTCTTTCCATATATACAAATATTGGATATGTACATAGAAACATATGACCATTTAACAGACAATGAATTATGTTTTCTACCTTCAAAAATAAGGCTGGAAGCCTAACTCTTTTTACAACACACACACACACTCCGGAGTTAAGAGAGCTATTTCATACATTTCAGATTTCCTACAGAGAAATATTCTGAGTAGGAAAATGCTTATCATGACATGTGGAGTGTGGAGTTGGGGTGCAAGTGTTTCATATGGCCCAAGCAAACTGATTAGGTAGTCAGTGCATACATCAGCTGCCCACACTTGTTTGCACACTCCACACACTACAAGAAACATGAATTGCATACCTGGAAATGAGTTGCGTGCAGGAAGTCAATTGTGTCAGGTAGCTGCTTGTCTATGAGGGTGCTATTACTCCCATTTTACAGGCGGAGAAAGGGAGCAAAGAGAAAGAGCTATGACTCAAGGCCGTTGGGGGCTGAGCAGGGCTCTAAACCAAGTCTGCAATGCCCAAATCCAGCGTACAATGCTGGGGCTACGAAATCCGCGGAGCCTCTCATAGGAAGCGACCAACATACATCAACTCTGAAACCAAACCAAAGTCACAGGGGGGAAATCCTACCGTCCGTTGCTCATCTCCCTCCCGGATGCGGAACGTGTGCTCAAATATCGTGTACATGATTCTTCCGATACCAAACGAAGGCTCAATCACATTGGGGACAATCTCTTCCACTAGAAAACAGACAGGCAAAAAAAGGGTATGTTTTGCTAGGCCAAGTCAGGTTGGAAAGCGTAGAAGCTTTTCGCGTTCATAGCAATTCTGCCCAACAGCAACGGGGCTCAAAGGTTGCCACTGTAACGCCCACAAACATTTACCTCTCAATTTGACTGTACGGGGCAATTATATCAGGCTTCCTCAACCTTGGCCCTCCAGTTGTTTTTGGCCTACAACTCCCATGATCTCTCGCTAGGAAGACCAGTAGCCAGAGATGATGGGAATTGTAGTCTCAAAAACATCTGAAGGGCCGAGGCAGCCTGAATTATATCAGTGCTAGTGGCCCCAGTGGAGGTAAGGCACTGCCTGGGAACTGTGCATTCCAGTCAAACCAAGTGAATGGCATCTGAACACATTTATAACGGTGGTTTGCGCCCCTGACCATGAGGAAGCCATTTCAGTGCTTGTCATGCTGCCAATAAAAAACAGCCATTCCAGCGTTTCTCAAACTTGGGTCCCCTGCTGTTGATGGACTACAACTCCCATCATCCCTAACCGGTGGGGTCCTGGTAGCTAGGGAAGATGGGAGTTGTAGTCCAACTACAGCTGGGGACCCAAGTTTGAGAAACACTGCATTGGGCTGCAATTATATGTGCTACAGTGAATGGGAAGGAAGTCTCCCACTGATTTGGGGCAGGGGACAGTCTTCTGGCTATGATCTTTACTATTTTATAGCAGCAGGTACAGGGAGACCTACCGTGTAAGGTTTTCTGGAACCTCTTCACGCCAACCATGTCCTTTGTTAGTTGAAAAGTTTTCCCTTCCGTTTCAAAGGTAAATTCCCTGAAAAGAAAAGGGGACTCAGAATCAATATCAGGCTCTTTTCCTTCCAGAGGACACTGTAGAGTTAAAGGAAAACAGCAGCAGCAGTGCCATTCTAGTTCAAAAAGCAGGTCCAGCAGAATTTGAAGGTCATCAAAAGTATTCCAAAATTCCAAAAAATTGTTATGAATGAACAACCAGGTCAGCTCAAGGATTCCTAACAACATCCTGACTAGATTTATACTTCTTGAAAGTAAACAGCTGAGGAAGAGCAGGTAATCCTTCTCTGCTAGCTTTATTCAATGGAATTAGACAGTCCAACATCTCCTAACCTCTACGATCACTATGCTCAGGAAGTTTAGAATACTGCACCTTGCGATTAGGGATTACAGAAATTAAGTAAATATAGCAAATGCTAACAAAAATGGTGGTTATGTATTTATCTATAGGAATTACTATAAACCTCCAACTCAAAATATTATACGGATATTTAAAATATCCATTAAATGAAGAGGATTATGGGAATTGGAGGGAAGTATTGCAGATGGAGAACACAGAGGGGGAAAGACTCAGTCTAATCAATTCTGCAACATACTGATTAGCCTAATAAAGAAGAAGATTGGAAGAAATTTAAAGACTATCTACAGAAATACTGCAAAATTAATGAATGTTAGAATGATGTTGGATTGAAGTTAAGTGGTTTTTAGCAGCAATGTTATAAAGGAATATGTAAAAATGGATGGTTAACAGGTGATAATCTAAAGTTATAATATATTAAGATAAAAGATTAAGATAAAATCAAAGAGGGAAAGGATTTGCTGAATTAACTAATTGAACTGGAATACAAAAAAGGGAGGTGTGAGGAGGTCAGGGAAACAAGCAAATGAAAGATAAGATATGGAAAGACTGATCTGTTTTTAATCGTTTTTACTTTGTATGTCCATTTTTTCTTTTTTTTCTTTTTCTCTTTTTCTTTCTCTTTTCTCTTATTTTTGTAATATGTTGAAACTTTAATAAATATCTTTTTTAAAAAAAAAAAAAAAAGATTAGCCTAATAAAGGTATTGCTCTAATGCAGATGTAGGCCATGGGTAGGCAAACTAAGGATCGCGGGCCGGATCAGACCCAATTGCCTTCTGGATCCGGCCCGTGAACGGTCCAGGAATCACCACATGGATCACCAGCGCGCACGTTCTTTCCCTCTCCCACACACGACGATGATGGCGGTGGCGCCTCCTCCCTCCCTCCCTCCTCCTGGCTTCTCCCCGCCCTGCCCAGAGAAGGAAGGGGGCTGGGCTTTGTTGGAGCCAGCAGCAGCAGCGCTCAAGCGACTGCCATCTTAAGCAGCCCCTCTCCAGAGCCCTTTCACGCGCTGCTCATCATCCCTCCACCAGCCCCTGCCGCTCACAGGACACAGGTAAGCAGCCACCAGGGCTCGTGCTGCTCTTGAATCATTTTTATTTTTTATTTTTTCAAAATATAGTCTGCCCGGCCCCCCAAGGTCTGAGGGTCAGTGGAGCAGCCCCCTGCTGAAAAAGTTTGCTGACCCCTTGGCAAATGAGCATTTCCTGATACTTCTATGGATTTGGGGATTTATTTATTTTTAATGAAGGAAAAGGAGTGTCAATTGGGAGCCTTTGCTGATTGGCGGCCAATTCAGTCTCCTTTCATCTTCTAATCCCAATTTTTAAGTACAAATTGCACAGGCTTTTTCAGATCTTTCACAAGCTCTTCCGCCCTTGCCAAAGCTCTTGAGTCAGCTGCAAGAGGATCTATGTACTACTGGTTCTTGTGATCCAAAAGCAAATTTCATCTACGAAAAACAAAGATTTCTGCAGACATACTACAGAGTTGACACAAATGACAGTTTGCCAGCCGCATCGTCAACAAAACCCGAGATAGTCTGAGATCAGAAAGCAAAGCCCCAGAACCAAAGCAACTCTCTGGGTGACAATTCAGTCGCAAGTTATTTGTGCTCCAATCTGAGCATCACGGCACAAATTGGTGGGTGGAAAGTGCCTGATTCACCTCCCTCAGGCTCAAACACTTACCCTTTTTCGTTCAACAATTTCTCCATCTCATTGATGTAGCACTCATCACAGATGGAAAGGTATTCCAGCACCAGTTTGGCGTCCTTTTTGTAAGCCTTGCCAATGGCTCCCTTATTTGCTTCGAACTGAACGACGTTGGCTGTTTTGTGCAGGTTACGTTAAGGAATCCCAAGGGAACAGGAAGAACATGAAAAACTTAAAACAAATCCTTATTTCCAGATGAATAGGCTTTGGACTCTAATGTAACTGAAATAGAAAACTATCTTTAGAAAGACGTTTCCCGCAAAAGCATTTTATTTTAAAATCCGATTTAAATAAAAAAGAATCTGTTTTAAATAAAAAGAATCATATCTGTGTGTGTTGTGTGTGTATGTAAAATATCACTGATTTTTCAGGAAGCTTCAAGAGAGCTTCCTGAATTTACTCCCAGCAGCCTCACAAACGGAAAACCATTAGTTGAACTCACACATCCTCCCAGCTCAATTCCCCGTGAGTTAGAACTGTTTTATTTCTGAAAGGATATGGGTTCCTTCAGAGGCTTTTCAGCTACAAGAGGAACTTTGGTGGCTCTGGCGTGGCAAGAGAGGTCGTAGCAAGAGCGGTCAGCACAGCCAACAATTTCAATCCACCCCTGAAAGAAGAAAAAAGGATTCGCCTCTGTTCAGCACACCACCGCGTGAGTTAGCCAAACTCTCTCCTCTCCCCACCTCCCGTCGATTAATACAGAAGCCTCTGCAGCTATCAAATCACTTACGTAGGATGTTTTGGACTCTGCATCCCAGCAGTCGCAGGCGTAGTGGGCCATTTCGTTCTCCATGTGTTGTCGGAAGCGCAGCTTGTTTGGAGAGATGCCGACTTTGACAAGGTAGAGGTAGATGCGGCCAATGAAGTAACCAAGCACCGAGTTATTGATTACACCCTGAAAGGAGAGAGAGAGATGGGATGCCCAAAGCCAAAAACTGCTTCCTCAAGTAAATATGCACTGAAGAATTGATGCTTTTGAATTCTGGTGCTGGAGGAGACTCTTGAGAGTCCCATGGACTGCAAGAAGATCAAACCTATCCATTCTTAAGGAAACCAGCCCTGAGTGCTCGCTGGAAGGACACATCCTGAAGCTGAGGCTCCAATACTTTGGTCACCTCATGAGAAGACAAGACTCCCTGGAAAAGACCCTGATACTGGGAAAGATGGAGGACACAAGGAGAAGGGGACGACGGAGGATGAGATGGTTGGACAGTGTCCTCGAAGCTACCAGCATGAGTTTGACCAAACTGTGAGAGGCAGTGGAAGACAGGAGGGCCTGGCTGCTCTGGTCCATGGGGTCACGAAGAGTCGGACACGACTAAACGACTAAACAACAACAACAACAGTGCTGTACACCTTGTGTTCAGTGTTAGAAGCTCAGATGTACTGTATAAGCTAATCGCCAAATGGCACCTTAAACCTAGGTTGCGGTTGCCACAATGGAATGTCTAGGTGCCTCTTTTTTTTTACAACAGTTTTTTCTATTGCAGTTGTTATTGTGGCTGTTGTTCATTTCTATACCGCTTTATATTTTATATTTATAAATCTCAAAGCGGTATATAACACATTCAAACTTCAAATTGAATGATCCAGAATTAAACAAATTCAAGCTTCAAGGACAATATTTCAGAACCTCCCGAGTGGCATTTTGCTTTCTCCGGTCACCAACCAGAGATCTCCACATGGTCGCAACTGGACCCGCGCCAGTCGCAAATCGTGCCTGGTGTCTAGGGAGTTTTGAACACTGCTTGACTTGCGGTACAAAATACCGGGCCCTTTTCCATGACATTTCAACAGCATCCTCCATGTATTGAATAAGGAAAGTTAAGTTAAGACCAATCTTTTTATCAATTCCACAGGATTTTGATGCCGAGGTGTTTTAAGGGCTTGTTCACAGCTGAGCAGTGGGACCCACAACCAAATCTCAATAATGGTTATCAGAAGCACAATTTTTTGTCAACATGAAGATTCCTACGTGTAGTAAAAGCAAACCCAACATGTCTCTGCCTTGGAAAATCAGAGGATTTTAGTTCTGGAAAGGTGCTGAGACTTTCCATCATAGTTATAGGTAGGTAGCCGTGTTGGTCTGCCGTAGTCAAAACAAAACAAAAAAAATCCTTCCAGTAGCACCTTCGAGACCAACTAAGTTTGTCTCTAAGAGCCTAGAGCCTAGGACTTGCCGATCAGAAGGTTGGCGGTTCGAATCCCCGTGATGGGGTGAGCTCCCATTGCTCGGTCCCTGCCCCTGCCAACCTAGCAGTTTGAAAGCACGTCAAAGTGCAAGTAGATAAATAGGTACAGCTCCAGCGGGAAGGTAAACAGCGTTTCCGTGCGCTGCTCTGGTTCGCCAGAAGCGGCTTAGTCATGCTGGCCACATGACCCGGAAGCTGTATGCCGGCTCCCTCTGCCAATAAAGCGAGATGAGCGCCGCGACCCGAGTCAGCCACAACTGTACCTAATGGTCAGATGTCCCTTTACCTTTAAGTTTGTTATTGGTATGAGCTTTCGTGTGCATGCACACTTCTTCAGATACCAGATGCTTTCCATCATAATTAAGGCTAAACTTGTAGAGTGAATACAGAATTAATCTGTGTTGCTTCTTGTTCAGAAACTGCAATATGCAGACCTCATCTAGTTCTCCACAAAGGTGAGTATCTAGCAGAATTCATGGTGTTCTCTTCCATATTTTCTTCACACGCTTCTACTGCAAAACACACTTTCAGTACCTGCTCAACAGCATCCCCCAGACGCATGGAATGAGCCGACTGCCCACTGGTCTGGGCTTTGGAAGAGTACAAGAGGATGTGAAGGTCTGCTACATTCTGGAACTTAGGGTGATGCTTCTCACTGGGATCCACAAAATGCTCAATTTCTGCCATTGTGAATTCCCTAAAAGACAAAGGCATGCCCTCGGTTTAGTAGCTATTCTGCTTGAGAGCCACTATAGCATCTCCCATAAAGGTGAGATAACCCACAAGCTCTACACAACACCACGTACACAGGTCAATCCATCTCAATGTCTCGTGGCCTCTCAGACTCAGAGAGCTGGAGTCACCCAGTGGACACTGGGATAGGGAACCCAAGGGCAAAGTTCATGCTAAAGCTGCGAGCATTTGGCACCATATATTCAATTATAAATTATACAATTATAAATTATACAATTATTTATTCAACTGTAAAGAGAACAAACAGAGAACAGAGAATATATAAAAGGTCCACCGCTTTTTAGCCACCCAAAGAACAAATAAGTGCAGTGAAAATCTCAAGACAGTTGCAACAGTAACCCGTCTACCTAAAACCATTTCCCCTTTCTCTCAAAAAACCCACACCAAATATCTGCACTGTGGAATGTTCTACTTCTGGGGATCCAGTTAAAGTCAATGTGGGAAAGCAAAGTAAAAATGACAAATATTCACAAATTTATGATATGCCACAGACAGTGCTGTTGATATTTCCAATGATTATGCAACAGGGTCTTTTTAGAAATCAACATGTAGAGAGGTGACTGCATCGGGAACATTTTAGGAAGACACACCCATGGTTCCATTCCCTTACAAGCTGAGAGAGAGAGAGAGAAAGTCTATAGTTTTAACAAACTCTGTCATAGAAGAATGCTTACAGTACCTGACTCTAATGAGGCCTGAGCGAGGAGAGATCTCATTCCTGAAGGAATTCCCAATCTGAGCAGCAGCAAAAGGAAGTTTGCCTTGGTTAAATTCCAAGAGGCGTTTAAAGTTCAGGAAGATCCCCTGCGCAGTTTCCGGTCTCAGGTAACTTTAAAAAAACACACAAATGAAATCCAACAATGAAAGCAACTGAGAAGCAGGAAAATAACTCTCCTGAGAGCAGACGGGCCTAGTTCCCCAACTTTTTATCTGGGGCAAATTGTCTTGCAATCAAAAAGTACAACCAGTATCTCTCCCCCGACTGCTCAGACTCCCTTTGCTGGCTTGCTTGGCTGGGGTGAGGGGAAAAGGTTCTGAGCCTCAATAATTCCCCCTGACCCAATCCCAAATTTATTATTAAGGCTTGCATCTGGTTCCGTATTCTCAGTGTCTTCCTCCTCATGTGCTTGTTTTTCTAGGAACAGGAACACTAAATACTGTTCGATTTTAAACCAATTTTCACTTTATTGCTTTACTGCACCCTATGATACAAGTAGCTGACAGCCTGAGGCATCACTGCTGCTTATCCGTCTTAGGGCCACATAATTAAACACCGGGAAGACCTTTCTAACAGCAACAGCTGTTCAACAGTGGAACAGATTCCCTCGGGAGGTGGTGGACTCTCCTTCCTTGGAGGTTTTTAAGCAAAGGTTGGGTGATCATCTCTCATGGATGCTTTAGCTGAAATTCCTGCATTGAAGGGGGTTGGACTAGATGACCCTCAGAACCCTTTCCAACTCTACAATTCTGTGATGCTTTTCTAAGCTTATAAAATTAAAGATTGCAAGGCTAGTCTAGCCAAAGAGAGATGCTGCGAATAACCCACTCAGCAGTAAATTTGGTCACCTTTATGTTATATTAGGATAAGAACAAAAACACCCCACATTGAGCTGAGTTGACTACCATGGCCTGGTGCAAGTATTTCCTGTCGAGTCCCAAGCGGCTTTTGAATTTAGCTCATTCCTAGCTCCATGACTCCTAGCCCTTGCTAAACCTTCCCACCCCAGAATTTCCAAATCGCATGTGGGGGAAAACCACTACGCTTGAGCATTTGTGGGTTTGGGGTGCAGGGAGCAGTCTCAATTGTTCCATACATCACTACCCCAGTCCCTCCTCCATCACTGGTAGGTTCAGCAACACACACACACCACCCCAAACAAATTGAAGATCCCCAAGACCTCCTCCTGGGGAGGGTTAGTTGACTATAAGCAGAACACAATGGAATGTATTCAGCTGTAGTACGAGCCAGTCACCCTCGTCAAGCCCAGTAGGTCACAAGAAATATGTCAACATCCATGCTTAATTTACCCTGGCATGTTTCCTCCAGGCCCGATAGAGGTCTTGAACATAAGATTGAAGGACACCGGAGGACTGAGGTCATTTCCAGTAATGGGAGACTTCACGTTGTAGTTCACAAACAGATCCGCAAGCTCTTCCTGGCCGTAGTTGTCCAACTAGGAGCAAAACACGAAAGGCATTTAACACAGGAACCTGCAGCAAAGACTTAACTCTATCCACCCTGTCTCCTCTTTGAAAAGACACCAGCCCCTTATGAGAAACTGCAAAGGATTAATCCTGGCATTTTACTGGGGGAAGCAACAAGCATGGATTTGCCAGCGCAGCCTCTTACAAGGGCATTCTGGTGATAAGGGGCCAGAGCAACGCAGACAAACAGAAACACTGTCACACATTTCCCAAAGAGTGCTATGAAGAGGGCTGGCAGGGAAAGAGGCGGGCTGGGGAACCTGTGGCCCTTTGGATGCTGCCAGACAACAACTCCCATCATCCTTCACTGCTGACCATGTTGCCCGATGGGAGTGAAGGCCAACCAGATCTTGAGGGCCACAGGTTCCCCCTCTCCCTACCTCAGAAAGTAAATTAAAAAGCCTTCTATAATCCTTCTATATTTTCATGCCCTAACGCAATGCCAGCTGTTTGTGAGGATCAGAAAACCAAATCTGCAAGTTGAAGGACTTTGAGATAAGTGCACAACGGGTACAAGGAGGAACAACCTCTTTTCCTTCTCTTGCGAGGTTATGAACTGCTGCAAATGCCTCCTAGGAAGGAGGGGTGGTCCGTCTTTCCCTTTCTATGGCCAACAGCTACTTCTACAGGAGGACCCAGTCGGGAGAGGATGGGCGACAGCAGTGCAAGTGTCGACTGCCTACACTGAAGGTATCAAGTGTGTGTTTCTCGCCACATACACCTCTTGCATCTGCTCTGACAAATGGGGATTTCTCTTCAGGGAAGCAGACATGGCTGCAGGGGCTCCAGCTGCTTATTTCCATTCCTTCCCCTTCTTACTCACATTGGGTCAATGAAAAAATGAATAGGTCAACTCCCGCCAAGTGAGCCAGGGCCAAGTGCCACAAGCCAACTGCATCTTGGGCCACTCTCAGCACAGGCAAGTATCACAGCTACAGATTGCCAAATCTCAGTTCCCCCACCAGGTTGTTGTTATTATCCCAGCATCCACCTTGCTTTATCCAAAGCAAAAGAAAACATATAGGCACGGATCAGCCAAGAGCTCCCTTTCAGCTTTGCTCAATCTACAGAGAAGCAAGTTTCACAAATGTCAGCTGCACAGATTTGGACAAGCAGGACTAGAAATTATTCAAAGGCCAGAAACAGGGGAGGAGAAAGTTTCTTACTTGATAGACTTCATGCTACATGTGGAGCTCTGAATTTGCCTGTAATGGAACCACGGAACCAATTGCCCACCACTGGGCAATTGTAATAGATTCCCAGCAGGTATGTGGAACAAACCTTTACAATCTACACACCGCAAACAGCCACCCCACCAAACGAATTCGCCACTGATCTATGACCTGCAGAAAACTCATTTGTGAGATGTTAACTTCCAAGTTCGTCCGGTGTCTTAATTCTTCCCAGGAAACCCAAAGTAAGTAATTGAAAGCTTGCGCCTCCGTTTCCGTTTGCACAGCCACATACTGACCTGTGTCAGAACATTCTCCATTTCAGCCTTCTTCTCAGCTGTACATTTCTTGTCCGACATCAGCTTCTGTAAGTGAGCTGCAATAGAAGGCAGAAAGAAGCGTTCGTGGCCTACCACAAAGCCCACCAGAATGCAGATTCTAAGAACTAGATGGGCAGTTTCCAAAAATAGGTCTCCGAGGAGCCCCCAAGATCCCCAAAGCAGAGATCAGTAATGATAGGTTTCTCAGAGAAACATGTCTATCATATCCATCATTAGTGACTTCCTTCTGCAAAGCACAGCTATAGGAGAGAGTTCCATGCTCCCAGTTCAAGGTGAGCCTGAGGCCCAACAAGTCTGACTTGTGCTCAAATACCCTCCAGGCTTCTCTATAGTGCATAGAGGGTTCCTCAACTCGAGTGTCAATGTAGAAAAGAGTTTTTGAAGATAAATGTCTGAAAGCAACCGAATCGGGGAAACCAATTTGGCTCTGCCCTTTCTCCCAACATGTTCAGGGAGAGAACATCCTCAGCCCTCCCAGAGCTGGCACAATTTAATGTTTCTAGTATCATTTTCACAGAATAAGAACAAAAAGTAGCTGCTGCTGGGTTTGGGCCAAAGGCTCATGCAGTCCAGCATCCTGTTTTCACAGCAGCCAACCAGATGCAACAGAAATTCACCAAACCTACGAGTTCCCAGCAGCTGGTATTGTGAGGCATACAGTGAACATAAGAGCATAGCTGTCATGGCTAGTAGCCACTGATTGCCTTACTCTCCATGAATTTGTCTAATCCTCTTTGAAAGCCGCCCAAGTTGGTGACCATCATGGTGACCGTCACTACTTCTTGTGGGAGCGAATTCTAGAGTTTATGAGCTGTGTGAAGAAGTACCGTCTTCTCACAGCACATGGTTAAACTGTGGCACTCACTCCCGCAAGAGGAAGGGATGGCAACCAACCTGGATGGCTTAAAAAAAGGATTAGAAACTGTCTAAGTCACTCTTAAGACGGCATTCCGTTTCCAGTCCTGACAGCTGCAGAGAAAGGAGGGAGGATATTGAAAATACGGTGCTGAAGATATGCCAGCCCAGCATAATACATGGCTTATGCTAACTTGGCTTTCGCTTGGGAGAGGAGAGAGATTAAAACTTTCAATCTAAAAACATTTGTTAGATCAATGCTGAGGCGGGTGGGTGGGGAACATGCAAACCAGTCCTGCTCTCGCAGCTCAGCATACCTTTCAGGAGATGATCAGCTCGAAAACACTCCCCATTTTTCACATCCTTCACCATGAAGTCTGCAAATTTGTCTACGTGGCCGGAGGTCCTGCAATGGTCAAGAGTAGCGTCATCGCACATGGCATCAAGATTTATTTTATTCATTAGCGGATTTCTAAACCAATTCGCAATGCAAAGCTACCCAAACAGTAAACCAAAAGCAATACTACTGTGGTAGAATTCACATTCTGCAAAATGACAGGGTTATACTTCAGGAAACATCCTGAGCAGCCATCTACCTTCTCGCTGCAGCGGTACCTATATAAGCGCAAGCGCATGCATATACACACAGAGATACCTCGGTTTAAGAACAGTCCTGTTTACGAATGATTCGGTTTACGAACCCTACAAAACCAGTAGTAGTGTCCTGGTTTGCAAACTTTACCTCAGTCTACAAACGGAAACCGAATGGTGGAAGGGCACTGGAGGTGGGAGGCCTCATTAGGGAAAGCGCACCTTGGTTTAAGAACAGATTTGGTTTAAGAATGGACTTCCAGAATGGATTAAGTTCGTAAACCGAGGTACCATATACAACATTCTCTTTCTTTTTTCACTTTATTTTGTAGAACTGAAAAAGCTTCAAATAAAATATTAATAATAAAACAGTAGGATGACATGCTACTTACTTCAGAACAGGCTCTGGCGTGAGCATGGTGCAGTCTATCTCAAGAATCTGCTCTTCCTGGATGAAGTGCTGCCTCCAGGCATGAACTACATTGTTCTTCAAAGCACAACCCACAGGACCAAAATCATACAGGCCACTCACACCTGCAAGAGAGACAAGCTGTGAACACACACACACACCATTCCAAATAAATAGGTAAAAAAACAGAATTCCCGTCTGCAATCTACAACATGAGCATTATAAAAAGTTTTGCAACATTTTATTAGTGCCATAATATAGAACATAATTAATTGTTATCTCCTTACTACTGCTGGCTATTACACAGTTGAATTTTTGCAGATTAAGGCAATTAACTCATCCTACCAATAACCGTGAGAAACTTCCTTCTGACATGGAGAGAAGCATCTCCTGGCAATTTTTACTAGGATGCAAGCACCACTGAGCTCAAGATCAGTGAGACACACTCCAGGTAAGTGTGCATAGGATTACATCGCAAGTATTTTGCTCCACTAGTGGAGATTAAAAGGTCTGTTACAGTAATACCTGTCTAAAATAACCTACAAAAACCAGATATAGTTTTAAGTAAAGCAAAGGCTCTCCTCAAAGGGAATTTACAATTTCCTATAAAGTTTAAACCCATAAAAAGAATTTGCTCATGATGTACTATGGAGCAGTGTTAGAATTAGACCCAAGCAATAAATTGCACTGAATGACAGTATCATAAAAGGTAAAAGGTAAAGGACCCCTGACAGTTAAGTCCAGTCGCAGACAGTTTTTCCAGGTCATGTGGCCAGCATGACTAAGCCGTCTTTGGTGCAACGGAACACCAAAACCAGAGCAGCGCACGGAAACACCATTTACCTTCCCGCCGGAGTGGTACCTATTTGTCTACTTGCACTTTTGGGTGTGCTTTTGAACTGCTAGGTTGGCAGGTGCTGGGACCGAGCAACAGGAGCTCACCCCATCGCGGGGATTCAAACCACCGACTTTCTGATCGGCAACCCCAAGAGGCTCAGTGGTTTAGACCACAGCACCACCCACATCCCCTGACAGTATCATACACCCACCTAATTTTTTTTGCACCATTCAGCTTAATGCAGATGGTAAGCTAGATCTCCAACAGCTTTCATTATTTTTATTGTTAAATTTGATTTCTATGTTACCGCTTGCCTTATGTTGATCATTACATCCTGTATTGTGCATTTTATCATGGCCTAAGACTGCAAAAATAAATAAATGGTGGAGAACACAGGAAATCATGCTCTAAAGAGCCCACAATTACAATTATAAATTGGGTACCTCCATAAATAGAAAAAGCCTGGTCATAGAAAAACCTTCGCTTCAGAGTATCTTCCATTTTAGCTCTGTCCACGATATCATCCTTTGGCTGCAAAGCTAGCTCCTGTAAAAAAACGAATGATAGATTTCAACTAAAATAGTTCTTCCCTGATCCGATTATTCTCTCTCTTTCTCTCAGTAGCACACACACCTCCCTCTTTAGAGATACATTGCCCTGCATAAAGCAGAATAGTGCTGGACGTCTTCTGCTTGTATCTGAAGCTGCCCAACATCTGTAAAAGCTATTTTTAAACACTGTCATAGGGCATGCTGCTTTCAGCTGCATCGGAGCCAGGACTCTGAAGCGCACATGACAAGGAGCCAGTGATGGAAAAACCTCCAGAAAAGTAGCTGAAGTCCCCAGTTAAGTGTTTAGGGAAGCTTCTCACAACCTGGTGCTCGCCAGATGTTTTGGACTACAAGACCATCAGTCCCACCCAACACAGGTGCACTACCCAGGGCTGATGAGAATTACAGATCAAAACATCTGGGGGGCACCAGCTTGGGGGAGGATAGCTTACAAAAACAGATGGCTTAGAAAGCAGCCTATAGACATGGTACAATCAATAGACACCTTTTGAGAAATTTCCTGATAAAATGGGTGCTACTGGGGGAAAAGGGATCTCCGTGTAAGTCCTATTGCTAAGATGCATTTATTTAGCACCAGAAGGAAACTAACCAGCTCTCCTCAAAGATAATATAGCACCAACAACATTGTTAAATATGTTTTTAATAATCTCTGTGTGATTATATTTCCTTACTTTACTGTGGTTGCAGATCACTGTGTGGCTTACACATTGGGAAACGATGCAAAATTTTAATAAGCCTAACATAGCTGGGATGCCAAATTCCAAAAACTTAAATGATGTTTAAAAGAAGAAAAATGCAAATGGTGTTTATACGGCCCCCAAGACATGACAGTCTCTGCACATGAGACTTTGAAATAAACTAGAGGGGAGAAGCAATGCTTTTTGCTATATGTGACCCAGTCCAGTACAGTAGAGCTGAGAAGGTAGAATTTAAGAAACTATAAATGGCTTAGGACCAGGTTATTTGAAGGACTGCCTCTTTCCACACTACGTAGGAGGTGCTACCCTGTGTTCCTTCACTACTGCAGGAGAGCTTCATGGGAACACAGATGTCGGCTCTCTCAGAAGTGGCATCCAGACTGTGGAATTCTCCAACAAGACGTTCAGCTAGAACCCTTCTTTTCAAGGTTTAGACACTTTTTTAATAATTCCATTGTGGCTTTTAAGCTGCTTTAACCTCCTGCTGCACCAACTTATTTTTTAAACTGGCCCAGTTGCTTTTTAGTCCTCTCGTGCTGGTGTTTCAATGTTTTGACTGCTGTACTGCGGTCTTCTAAATCACAGAAGCTTAGAGTTGGAAGGGACCCAAGGGTCATCTAGTCCAACCCCCTGCAATGCAGGAATCTCAGCTAAAGCATCCGTGACAGATGGCCATCCAACTGCTGCTTAAAAACCTCCAATGAAGGAGAGTCCGTCACCTCTCGTAGCTGTCAGAAAGTTTTTTTGAAAGTTTAGTTGGAATCTCCTTTCTTATAACTTGAAGCCATTGCCTTAAGTCCTACCCTCAAGAGCAGGAGAATAAATCCATAAAAGTTACTAATCTGCCAAAATTTCTGCTAGCCTTCTGGGGGTTGACCAAGGAGGGAAGGAGTATTTCATGGCTTCTCCCGCAGCCCATTTGCTTTCTATGCTGGACCCAGAAGAGCACTCATTTCCCACTTGGCCCACCTGCTCACTCATCAGCATGCAATTCTTGTTTCCAGTGGCCACCCAGCGAGTGCCTAAATCAGGCATAGGCAAACTCAGCCCTCCAGATGTTTTGGGACTACAACTCCCATCATCCCAAGTTACAGGACCAGCGGTCAGGGATGATGGGAGTTGTAGTCCTAAAACATCTGGAGGGCCGAGTTTGCCTATGCCTGGCCTAAATACAAGTTGGACTGATGCGAGTTGGCAAAGGCTGGTCTAAACCGTGGTTGAGCATTACAAAGATAGGCCAGGCAACCCCCACCCAGTGCAGCCAGGAGCAGTTTAGAAGCATGAAGTTAGCCTCGACGACAGATGAGGAAAGCCACCCCACTTACAACTTTAAGTTTACCAATAATAATAATAATAATAATAATAATAATTTATTTATACCCTGCCCATCTGGCTGGGCCTCCCCAGCCGCTCTGGTTGGCTTCCCTCAAAATATTAAAAACACAATAAAACCTCAAACATTAACAACTTCCCTAAACAGGGCTGCCTTCAGATGCCTTCTAAAAATCAGATAGTTGTTTATTTCCTTGACATCTGATGGGAGGGTGTTCCACACGGTGGGCGCCACTACCGAAAAGGCCGTCTGCCTGGTTCCCTGTAACCTCACTTCTTGCAGGGAGGGAACCACCAGAATGCCCTCGGAGCTGGACCTCAGTGTCTGGGTTGAACGATGGGGGTGGAGACGCTCCTTCAGGTATACTGGCCGAAGCCATTTAGGACTTTAAAGGTCAGTACCAACACTTTGAATCTGGCATGCTATCACTAACCATAATCAAGAAGAACCATAGACTGGCATTTGCAGGAAATGCTGAACTATGGTTAATCTGGAAATGGACACCGAAACTTCCAGCCACCTCCTTGCAGGCACAATGGAGGAAGAAAAGGGGAGGGGAGGCACAAAAGTCTGAAGTTCATTGTAACTTGTCAGTGCAACCCTAAACCTTGATCATTTACTCTGGCATAAGGGGGGTGGGCGGGGAACCAAAAGCCAACAAAAAAATTGACCCCCAAGGCTCACCTTTGCTTCGAGGATTCTTTTGCGAGCCTTGAGTTCAGCTACTGCTTTGTCTACATCCACCTGGGGAGCCTTCTCTTCCTTCAACTTTCGAACAAGTTCGCCCTAGAAAAAGAATTGCAAACAGTCAGTACGGGTTCAGTTCTGAAAGAAATCCCATGAACATAGTTGGGCGGCGAGGAATTGCCAGCAGAAACAGCACTTTTCTGCCACTTAAACTCACAACATACACATGGATTTGAGGGACAAGCGATACCTGACCCACAATGATGTTTAAACCAGTACAATTGCCTTTTGAAGGCAGTGGGGAGTGAGCTCTCACAAAGAAATGCACAGAGTGTGGTGCGTCACAGTCTATGTACTTTTACCAAGAAGTCAAGTCCCACTGTGTGAATGCAATTTACTTTCTAGGAAGTGTGTCCAGCACTTCGGTATCATTGGTTTTCTGAAAGATGTGACAGTAAACAAAAACAAATTGACAGAAGCAAGTTATTACGGCATTTCAATAAAAGCCATATGATTTTGAAAGACAGCAATGCAACTGATTGCAGACATCTTGATAAAGGCTTAAGGATGGTTTCACCGTGGGTTGATAAGAATGTAGGTTAGGAAAAGTCATTCTTACTAGGGATTTCTTATCTCACATTCACAACAGTCCTGGGAGGATAGGCTATGACAAATTTCTCTTCCACGCTGTATCTACTGGGTCCCATAGCTGAGAACCACCATAGGTCTTATATCACACACTTCAATTTTCACACAAAATTCAATACTAGTTTTTCCTTACATGGAAAACAGGGCAGAGCAACATTACTGTGAAACTTAGGTGGATAGAACTCCAAAAGTCCCAGGTTCCATCCATAGAGTCTGTGTACAACCTTGGAACGCCTACTCAGAATTCCCAAGTAGTTTGTCACAAATTATGCATCTGGAGTCTTGCAGTGAATATATACACAAAGGGTACAAACCCTAGTGAGTCACAATCACAGTTCCCCAGATTTGGGGTGTGGGTAAGTGCATATATGGGGAGGGGCATACACAAAAGTCGACACTCAATAAGTCTACTGTCTTGACTGCTCCCAGCAGGTGAGATTGTATGGAGCTGGACAAACCAATGCAAGGGCTTAGCTGGATATATCCCACAACAGCCTTTGCCAACCTAGTGCCCTCCAGATGTTTTGGACTATAACTCCCATCAGCCCCGGCCAGATGGTGGCAGTTGTTGTCCAAAACATCTGGAGGGCACCGGACTAGCAGAATGCCTTAAGGATTAGATTCATTTTTTAAAAAAAAGACTATAAACTCCATCACCTTCCTAGTTTCACACATCACAGTTTAGCATCAATCTTCCCCCTAAATAGATTTTCCTTATTGATGGTCTCAAATGGGACCGCATTTTTTATAATAAGTTCTTTCTACACTGGTAAACCGTTCGCTCCACCGACAAGCAGCTGGCAGGAAGAGCAGAAGTCGAGGGCAAAGGAAAATATGAGCAGGAGGGAAAGAGCTTCAGATGTGGAAAGAAATCTCCATCCTTATGAGATTAATCAAAGAAGAGGCAGGCACGCCAAGCATGACAGACCACAAACTCATCAGAGAAGAAGCGAAAGAGAAACCCGACAGTGTCCATTGCTGCAGCCAGACTAACAACGAGCTTGATTCTGAATGTGAAAGTTTGACTCAAAGTCACTGCAGTTGCAGGCTAACGTGGCAGAAGGGAGGGAACTGAAGGTTGTTTTTTTAAGCTAGAAAAGAAGGGAAGGAGAAGAAGGGAGGAAGAGAGGGTCGGCTGAGAGATAAAACCTCAGGAAAGCAATATTAAAAAGACATTTGAAATCTGCAGTCACCAGTAATGAAAGGGAGGGGGGAAGCATGCATTTTTAAAAAGCCAGCAGCATTTGCAGTTTCACATGTCAAGAAATAGAAAGTCCGAAGCACACAGGAAAAAGGCAGAAACTGAGGCGGGGGGAGGCAGGGGGGGAGGGAGGGAGAGGAAGGAAATGCCGACAGGATTCATTTATTTGAGAGAACCTGCCCAACCCAAAGAAAGTGCAACGGAGCTAGACTGATGTGGCAGTTTTCACTGCAGCTTTGTCCCTTATGGCAGGGAAAGGGATCCACCCCTCGAACACAGAAGCCTATTGCATCAGGCACTGCTGCAGGAGGAAAACATTAACCCAGCCCAGGACTGATTTCTCACTCAAGGAGATCTGTCCAGAGGTGTAATTAAAGTGTTTCTTCGTTCCCTAATGACGGGGACAAGCCAACAGTCCATACAACCTCCTCTTCATTCACCAGATCTTAATCTTTGCCAGGCTAATTTCACATCACACAGCACACTCTCTGTGCCTGGCAAAAGTCCCTTCTCACACCAAGCTTTACTTTCAGCATTTCCTTATTGCAAATATGAGAAAGCAGGAAGATTCCTGTTTAAGAAAACAGGACTGTGTTTGTGTGTCAGCTATTGAGATTCCTTTTAAAAGGATAACCTCTGACTCTTGCATCAAGCCACCAAAACCTGATTCAGCAAGATCTCCTTAGAACCAGGTAATTTGGGATGGTGTATGATGATTCACAAGAAAAACAAAGCTGAAGCATACACTAATTAAGATGCTACCCATCCAGTTATGTAAAGACACCCATCTGAGTCCATTTTACATGACTAGCTAAGCAAGAATAGACTGTGAACTTAGTGGCATAATGGGGAATTTACACAGAAATAACCATGTATCTAAAGATCAGGTATATAAATAATCTGGGTATGCAGGGCCTTCTGCTCAGTTGTGAAACAACCAAACAAATCCAATTTTGCATTAGACTGGAATATATAGACATACACCCTCCAGGATGCAAAGATATAAAAGAGTATTGCAGGAACCAAGCAGATCTGAGAGTCAGATGGTATGTGGGGAAGAACAGCTCATCTCCACCATGTGAAATCCCCCACAAAAAAGTTAAGGAAATTTAACAGTACAATGCTTTAAAGCAGCACTGTCTATCAATAGGCGTTCATCCCTACTGGGAGTCTAAATATATTCCCAAATCCTTACAACCATTGTATTATTACGACTACAATTTGTTTATATAAACTGCTTTTCAGCCTAAAGACCCCCAAAGCAGTGAACAGCCTATTAAACTGATAAGAACATATATTACGCTTGATCTTACCCAAAAGACCATAAGAAAATGCTTAGTTTGCTTCTTTTCAAATGAACAAAAGTGGCTACAGATCTTTGAATCAGAGAGCGCAGAGATTCAATTCTTTACTGCAAGGTATCACATCTGTCTACAAAAGGAGTGTCATGAGGGGCAGGGTAAAGGTTCATTAGGAATAATGCATTCCAAGTGAAACAACTCTGTAGAAAGCTAAAGCTGCAATCCCCCACTAACCTAGGACCACTGAACCCAATGGGGCTTACTTCTTAATAGATATGTATAGAGCATTGTGCTGTGTAAGACATGCGGGAGAAGAAAACGATGCTCTGTGTGGACTCCACTCTGCTAAAAATGGGTTTGAATCATCATTTCACACTGTAGGGGGGAAAGGGGACCTTAAACACATTCCTCTAAACAGCTGGAGCAATCCAGCTGAAGAAAATGAGAGGAAAGACCATCCACAGTATATGGGACAGCAGGGGGAAAGAGTTCATATCTATCTTGTTCTCAGCTCGGCTTATCACAGTGGGAGAAGAACTGCAGAGAAGCATATGAGTTTATAAAGAGGAAGGCAGGAATCTCACAGAAGACCCAGATCTATGTTCAGGTAAATCTCACCCACCCAAATGGAATATAGGAACCTAGTTATATGAAAGAAAATGCAGCAGAGAAATTAGCTGTAACACAAGACAAATCTCAGGAACCTGGGGAAAGGACCCACTGCCATACACACAAACACACCCAACGGGCTCTCTATGAGAACAGGAATGCTGCAAAAAGACACAGCACTTTAATTCAAATGTACATGAGGACTTTCCTCAAACAGAATTAAGGAATGTCTGTATGAATCCAACTTTAGGTAGATACAGATCAGTAACTAAAGGGGGGTTATTCTAAAGCAATGGTGACTTCCTACACACCTCAAAGCTACAGTGGAAAGCCTTGGAGAATAACCAGGAATTAAGCATTTGTATGTATCTCTTAATTCTACAGCTACATCGTGAATGGGGGGCAGAGTGACATGCAAGCCGGAACAGAGAAAGATGACTAGGATGAGAAAGCATCAAACAAAGGAAGGATCCAGAGGAAGCACCTGTCCTAAATCAAGTTTTGAAAGGACGCCACATCACGACACGCAAATCAAGAGTTGGTTAGGATCCCCCGAAAACACCCAGGATCCAGAATCCCAAGCAAATCCCACCCAGTTCCAAGCGTAAAGGACAACCAGGGGCAGCTGCATCTTGTCACTGGGTATCCTCAGATCAGAAGGCTCCCAGGACAATCCTATACGTGTGGTTGTTCAGAATCGAGCCCCACTGCACCCAGCAGGGCCTTACACCTGTGTAAAGCGTCTTTGCAGCCTGACAGTATTGCTGTCAGGTGCGATTATTCACCTCTTTCCCACTACACAGATCCAGACTGCAAGGGGAAGCCTATTGAAAGGGGGAAAGAGAAGTCCTCTATAGACATATCCCTGTGTGTTTGTAACTATATATGTCTCTCTCTCTCTCTCTCTCTCTCTCTCTCTGTGTGTGTATCTCCAGATATATGTGTGCATCCCTGTTTATATGTATGTGCATCTATTTATCCCTATGTGTTATGTGCATATATATAGATACAGATATATATGTGTGTGCGTATGTATGGGTATATAAGTATGTGTGTATATCTGTGTATTATGTTTAAATGTGTGTACAGTGGTACCTCGGGTTAAGTACTTAATTCGTTCCGGAGGTCCGTTCTTAACCTGAAACTGTTCTTAACCTGAAGCACCACTTTAGCTAATGGGGCCTCCTGCTGCCGCTGCACCACCGCCGCGCAATTTCTGTTCTCATCCTGGGGCAAAGTTCTTAACCCGAGGTACTATTTCTGGGTCTGTAACCTGAGTCTGTAACCTGAAGCATCTGTAACCTGAAGTGTCTGTAACCCCGAGGTACCACTGTGTGTGTGTGTGTGTGTGTGTGTGTATACACACACATATATATACACGGTGTGTGTGTGTATATATATATATATATATACACACACACACACACACACACACACACACACACCGGGGGGGGGGAGAGAGAGAGAAATGCAGATTTTAGAGACCCTCATCCAGATTGGGGGGGCGGGGTGGGGGGCAAGATCCTAGGATGAAAAGGAGAGAAGCCCCCGACCCAAAGTATGCGGAGTCCCCCCTCCTAACACAGGCAGACATCCCCCCCCCACTGATGGACAAAGGACCCCCCCCTCCAAACAAGCCCCCCGTCCAGCCTCACCTGCTGCCGCACCGCCTGCCTGAGCGGGGCGAGCAGCGCCTCGGCGGCGGGCCCGTCCATGCCGGCGCCGGGGTTGCTGGTCCACTGGGAGGGCGAGGAGGAGGAGGAGGCGGCAGGGACGGCGGAGGGGGACCCGGGGCGCCTGGTGACCAGGGTCCGGCCGGCGGGGCTGGGCTGGAGGCCGAGGGAGGCGAGGGGGCTGAGCAGGAGGCTGCGGATGCTGCTGCTGCTGCTGCTTCTGAGGCGGCCGAGCGAGGCGGCGCGGAGGACGCTAAGGGGCCACGGCATGGAGCGCAGGAGGGCGGCGGCGGAGGCGGCGAGGCCCGGCCCCCAGCATGATGAAATCCCCGGCCGGCGAGGCCGCCCTCTCCGCTCGCCCCGCCTCGAAGCAGGCGGACGCGGCGCCCGCTCCGCCGCGGCACTTTCGCTCCTTCTCTGCCCCGCCCCGGCCGCGGAGTCGCAGGCGCAGATTCGACACGGGCCAACGGGCGGGATCTAATCCACGCAGGCCTCGCCTTTCCCCTGGGCCGGAGTAGGCCGCGCCGGTTGCTAAGGCAACGGCCAGGCCTCCCGCCGCCTCAGAGGCCACGTTGGGGCGCTGCGAGGCCGAGCGAACAAAATAAAATAAAAATAAACGGAGGGTTGGCGGGGAAGCAGGAGCACTTGCTACCTGGAAATGTTGGGGAGCAGGGGGAAATATTATGGGGTGGGGCGTGTTGGTTTTTTTTTTTTAAAGCCTGGCCTCGGTTCCGCCTTTCTCAAACTTGGGTTCCCCAGAGGTTGTTGGACTACAACTCCCAGCATCACTGATCACGGGCCCTGCTAGCTAGGGATGATGGGAGTTGTAGTCTTCAGAACAGCAGGGAAGCCAAGTTTGAGAGACACTGATGACCGGTGAAAAAACACTGCAGGAGGACAGGAGTAAACACCACAGAGGAGATACATGACCTTGTACCACATATGTTCACCCAATGCAAGAAACCCTAGTCTGAAGGAGTCCCAGATTTAAGAACTCATCAAGCACATTTCGAAGACTGCAGATCCCATGCTGCAGTGCAGCCTCGCTCAAATATTCTTTGTCAATAAAGAAGCATGCAAAACTGGCAGCTGCACAATGCCGAAGTCTTTGGTGCTTCGTCACTCCCCATCTCCCTCTCGGAAAACTGCAGAGACTCCACTCCTGGGAGGTCAGGTGCATGACAGCAGCCCTTCCCACTGGCTGCTACCAACACCGCTAGTCTCCTCCTTAAATACTACAAAGTCCATGTTGCAGGGCAAAGGCAATCAAATGCGTGTACTCATCAAACAGGTGCATGCAATCATGGTTCAGTTTCCCCTCATTGTTAACCACCATCCGATCTATGCGGTGGCACAAATCCTGGCAGTTTTAAGTTGCCCACAACTCACTTCCATAAAGCAGCGTGCTCACCACACAAGACTGGCAGACCTTCATCTTGTTGGGCATCTCATTCTCTCATACCCTTTCGGAGAGGGTTGTCCAGCTCAGTGTTGATGGAGAGGTTGCTGGTTATGGTGGAACCCAGGTAGACAAAATGGCCTTCCACCTCAAACATATGGTTGTCAGTGCTGATGTGTGGAGTGCCAGCGACGTCCTGACCCAGGTTGTTGGTCTTCATGAGGCTGATGGTATGGCCAAGCTCCCTGCAGGCTTGAGCAAAACAGCTGATGAGTCTCTGGAGAGCTTCCTCAGAGTGTACAGTCAAGACAACGTCATCTGCAAACAACCCTCAGGTAAGGACCCACCACACTTTTGTGTTGGTGTGGAGACTTGCCAGGTTGAACAGACCCCCATCACTCCTTGAATGGAAGTATGGACTACCTTCTGCAATGGTCCAGTTTGCGGGCGCTCAAAGTCCTGGCGGAGGATGGCGGGACCTGGGGCAAGATGGCAGGGTGGGAGCAGGAACGAGAGTCCGGAAACCAGGAGTCAGGAAGCCAAGGGTCCGAGGATCAGGAAGCAAGGAGCGAAGAAGCCAAGGGTCCGAGGATCAGGAAGCAAGGTGTCAAGAAGCCCAAAGCAGGAAGCATGTTGCTGTGGCAAAGAGCCAAAGGGAAATGCTGCCCTTATATCCCTTCTGGGCTCTTGCCACCAGGTGCTGTGAGTTACCAATCGGCCTTACCTGTGCGGCCGCACCTTGCCTCTTGAGAACAAACTTAGGAAGGCCCCAGTCCTGTAAATCCCTACCAGACACAGGGCCTGGCTCCTGCACGCACTCCTGACACCTTCAGTCAAGCTGAAGGCATCTGAAAGCACCATCAAGAAGAATGTGCCAAAGAGAGTTGGGGCAAGAAAACAGCCCTGTTTCACACGGCTCTTTGTAGGAAAGGTGTCTGAAGATGAGCCATCATACTGGAGAGTGCCAGGCACGTTCTTGTGGAGGAACACAATCATCTTGTGAAGTTTCGGTGGGCATCCTATCTTGTTGAGCAATGTGAAGAGTCCTTTTCGGCTGACAAGGTCAAAGGCCTTCGACAGGTCTATGAAAGTGATGTACTAGGGCTGTCATATGTCTGGATTTTCCCGGACATTAGCGGGATTTCAAGGCAGAAATGACGTCTGGGGGGATTTCTGAAAGGCGGCACTTTCTCCTGGATCTTAGGCAAGTCAATCAAAAAATCGCATTGTGGCACAGATCTTTGTTCTCAACGCCGTAAGAGGAGGCCATGGAGGTGTGGCATGAGGGAGGAATTGAAGGAATTTCTGCACTTCTGTTGGGATTTTGGCCTGTCCTGGGTCTTTCCCACATGCTTGAGAGTTGATGGCACTGTTGATTTGAGGTCTCTCTTTCTCCTTTGTGCTATGGGCTCTCCTTAACCTGAGATGGACCTTGCTTGCCACCAGGCAGTCATCCATGTGGTATCTCCATGTGACCCGAATACAGTTCAGTGCTGATTTCCTGGTGACAATCAAATCCAGCTGGTGGACTTACTATCCTTGAATTTCTCTAATCTTTTGAAGGGATCTAAGCAAGAAGCTGTCAAAATTTGCTGTGCCTTGCAGCAAATTACATAAGTAAATTATGCATTGTACAAAGAAGTACTTGCCTTTTGTCTCCCCTGACTGTGCTGCCAATGGGTTCTTGAATTATAAGTGATGGAGATAAATTTCACTCTCATCACAAAGAGTTTTATAAGCTTCTATCCTGCCTCTTCCTGAGGTTCAAAAGTAACTTTCCTCTTTTGGCATATTGCTACGGTAGCTCAAGCAATTCAGCACTGGGACTCACTTTATCAGAGTATGTAGCTTAAGATTCCCTGACAATGTACAGATAAGTGACCAAAATAAAAAGTAAGAACAGTTTGAGAAAGTCAGTAGAGAAAATCTCATTTATTGGGGAGGGGGAATTTGCCAAAGCTAGAGTTTTCCTGGGATATGCATCCACTGGGTATGGATTACTCGACTTGTACAAAAGTAGAGATAAGTGCTCTTTGGGAAATGCAAAATTTAAGGCAGTGGCAACATTTGTTGTCAAAATTGAAGAGTACAATATTTAACCACAGATGTATTTGAAGGAAAATACTGGAAAGTGTCCATAAAGTTAAAGCTATGGTTTTCCCAGTAGTGATGTATGGAAGTGAGAGCTGGACCATAAAGAAGGCTGATCGCCGAAGAATTGATGCTTTTGAATTATGGTGCTGGAGGAGACTCTTGAGAGTCCCATGGACTGCAAGAAGATCAAACCTCTCCATTCTGAAGGAAATCAGCCCTGAGTGCTCACTGGAAGGACAGATCCTTAAACTGAGGCTCCAAGACTTTGGCCACCTCATGAGAAGAGAAGACTCCCTGGAAAAGACCCTGATATTGGGAAAGATGGAGGGCACAAGGAGAAGGGGACGACAGAAGACGAGATGGTTGGACGGTGTTCTCGAGGCTACCAGCATGAGTTTGAACAAGCTGCGGGAGGCGGTGGAGGACAGCGGTGCCTGGCATGCTCTGATCCATGGGGTTACGAAGAGTCGGACACGACTAAACGACTAAACAACAACTATTGGAAAGTGTCCCTACGAATTGTGAGGAAGAAGAACATACATCATCACCACCAGGTGTTTTTGAATCCTGCACAAACACACAAGAAGAGGGTGTCTTGCATTGTAAGCGAACACTGTTGTCTCCATCTGCTCATTGCAGACTGGAAACATACGGCTGATCGACACATGCTGTAAGGGAAATGTTCAGGAGAGAGATGTGGCGTTAAACAAACCAGCAGTCTTAATGCAAGCAGCAATCCTGGCATATTCTCCAGCATCCCCAATTGCAAATGCCACTTTTTGGTGCAGGATCAATCTGTCATATCCATCACAGCAAGACCTGAGGACACCTTGCTGTGAAGCCATAAATCATCCCCACTGTACGTTACAAACGTGAAGTGGCAGAGGAAGCAAGCAGATATTATGATCTTGGTGAGAAGGTTACATGTCTTTCTAGGACGGCATCCTCCAATCTGCTGTATCCTAGATGGTGCTGGAATCCAACCCCCATCATCCCCAATCATTGGCTATGCTGGCTGGGGCTGATGGGATTTGAAGTCCAAAAACTAGAGTGCACCAGGGTGGGGGAGACTGTTCCAGGAAATGGTGGCCTTTGGTCCCACGGCTAGTTGCAAAGCAGGAATCTCTATCACACTTGCTGTTGCTTTTTGCTGAATTCATTCTATATTTTACTTGGCACTGTCTGTTTTTTGGCTCCTGGCCCTGATAAATCACTGTTTTGTAATTTGAAGAGGTTCTTTTCTCCTAAAAGAGCCTTTCCTAAAATCAACCATCTTGGAAACTGTGATTGGTAGGTGAATCCTCAAGGACTGCCTCTCTGCATATGAACCTACCTGGACCCTGAAATCATCCTCTGAGGTCCTTCTTCACATGACTCCTCCATGAGAGGTCTGGAGGATGGCAACACGAGAACGGGGCCTTTTCTGCAGTGGCTCCCGCTCTATGGAATGCTCTCCCCAGGGAGGCTTGCTGGAACCTTCATTATACAACTTAAGGCACCAGACAAAAACATTCATCTTCAACCAGGCTTTGGGTTGCCCTTTTAAACGTGTTGTGGGATAGGGGATTTAAAAAATAAAAATATAAAAAATTGGTATTTTGTGTTTTTTATATTGTAATTTACAATCTGAGATTTGCAATTTAAATAAATAAATAAATAAATAAATGGTAACGCTGCCACTGGGGGCTGCCCAGCTGGTGTTGAGCCATGGCAGGGACTTTTTTGTGATGGCCCCCCGTTTCTGTATACAACAAGATCTGTGTTTCACCTGTGAAAT